GACATACTCTAGGTCCACCCTCGTACATCACTATCATATGTCCTAATTTTACTTCTAATTTCAAACAATTACATGTTTTGTCTTTTATTTATAATATATAATAATAATATCAATGATTTTATTAAGATATTTTATTAATTCAAATTTTTAGAATTAAATGTCCATGTATTTTCAAAATCTTTAATGACTTCCTAATTAAGGAAACCAGTTACAATCAATTAATTTAAACAAATAAAATATATATTTTAATCGTAAAATTCAACATATACATGTATCTCACCATTTTAGACTGATACATCCTAAGTACTAAATATGATGAAAAAGTAATGTTTGGAACTATAAAAAATCTTGCAAATTAGAACCTAAAGGGAATTTATGTAGTTTACCCTTTGAAAAAAATGTGACCTCTTTTTAGAAGTTAGCTTTAACTTATCGATTCTATTGAATCACAAGTGATCAGTGTTTAGAGATTGAAATTGATAATATTACTACATTAAAAATGAGCTTTAGCGATAATCAATTAGCAGTTGCTGCTAAATATATATTTTTAACGGTAATTAGCACTCTTTGTATATGTCACTTTAACGATATTAGACCTAATAACACTTAACTAATGCTGGTAAAGACATTACTACTCTTTATTAATGTATCTATTTATTGCCGCTAAAAGTTATTTTTATTGTAGTATGTTCTTAATAAGTTTTTTTTGACCAAATGTTATTTAAAGTAACTTATTTTGGAACTGATTATCATTAGTGTTAGAAGGTTGAAATTGGATTAGTTTATGATTTCGAATATTATTTTGTGTTTGAGACTGATATTTATTTTATATGTCTAATACAATTAGAGTTCATGTGAAAAATAAAATTATGATGGCAAGAAAAGAAAATATTTTCACACATGAGTTCGTGTAAAATACATAATAATAATGACAAGAAAGAAAATATTTTTGCACATGATGAAAGATCCTAAAATTGATTAGAGTCCAATTTACGTAATAATGACAAGAAAAAACATATTTTTGCACACGATGAAAGATCCTAAAATTGACAATAGTCCAATTTACGAGCCCAAGGCATAAAACTTTCAATATTCAATCTACAATTTATTAACTATGAAAAAAATATTATATATCACAATAATTGATAATTTAAAATATTTAAAAGATATATGAAAATAGATACACTTTTTTTTAGAATTCGAAGCCTAAAGGCTATAAAATGTTAACGAAAATTCAAAAACGGTATATAAATTTATATTTTAACCAAAAGGACAAGATCACTAGAAGAGCAGCGATTTCGCTCGTCAGACAAAGCAAAAGCGCTGCGATTTGCAAAATTTATTTTTTTTAAAAAAAATTCTTTTTTTAAAGAAATTGCTGCCTTGACAGCGATTTCCAAAATAAGTTTTTTTTTTTTATAAATCGCTGCCTAAGCAGCAATTTCTTTAATTTCTTTTTAATTTTTTGTTTAAAATTAAAAAAAAAGAAAGAGAAATTAAGAGCAAATCGCTGCAAGTGCAGCAATTTGTCTCGATATTTTTTTTATATATATTTTTGAAAATTTTGATTACTACTTATTTTAAAAACTGATTAAAAAATTTTTATTTTAGAATAAGTAGTAAAAAAGTTTTAAAATTAAAATTTCTAAAAAAAATTTAAGATTTTATTTTAAAAATTTAAAAATAATTTTTAAAAAATAATAAAAAATTTTGGAGACAAATCGCTGCCCTTGTAGCGATTTGCTCTTAATTTTTCTTTAAATTTCAAATAAATAATTAAAAAAAATTAAAGAAATCGCTGCTTAGGCAGCAAATTATTAAAAAAATCATTAAAAAAAAATTATTTTGGAATTCGCTGTGAAGGCAATGATTTCTTTAAAAAAAAATTATTTTAAAATCAAATTTTGCAAATCGCTATCGCTGCTCTTTCAGCGATTTTGCCCTTTTGATTAAAATAAAAATTGATATACCATTTTGAAATTTTTGTTAACATTTTATACCCTTTAGTCTCCGAACTCTTTTTTTTTATATGGCCTACCATGGTATATACTATACAATATTTCATACTTGCCGATATTTAAATCTACGATCAAACTAAAATTATGCAATCTTCTATCACAAATTATTAGAAATAAAAATTGGTATGCCTCAAATCATAAAATTAAAAAAAATTAAAATTGCCTACAACCTTCTTTAATTGCTTTAATTTGTCTTACTATCCATTCCCATATGCCAATTATAATCTCTACACTTAATTACCATAATAATTTGTACAAACATTTTGGACAAGTTCTAATTGAAAATCCCTTCTTCATCATCTATCAAATAACCCTCGCAACCCATATAAGGACACTCAATAATTTCACATGAATACAAAGCTTCCGCTTCGCGAACCGTATCCATCCATTGATCCATAAATTCAGGTGGCACGAAATATTCATCGATTAAAATTTGGTCTATGCAATCCGATACTGGACATTTTACTTGTGCTAGGGTTTCTTTGATCCTTTCGCAGACATAATTCAGTATACAATCTTCACAATAAACATGCCCACGCGAGGCATCATTGTTCACTGATTTTAATTCGTTACATATAGTACAAAAAACGCATGAGGGTTCACCTTTATCATACGTACTACACAAATCATACGTACTACACAAATGATCGATGCCTTTCTTGTTAAGATCGATAGATACGTACTACACAAATGATCAATGCCTTTCTTGTTAAGATCGATAGAGGAGCCATCTCTATGTTGTTGTTGGTGGTGTGGAAAAAGGAAAAAGCTATATTTTCTTTTTAAGGTATAGTTTGTTTGATCTATATATAGATAGAAAATTTTGTGTGTTTTTTTTTTTACTTTTCTTTTTCTTTGTCTATTTTGGCTTACTTAATAGAATTAAGGTGTGATGGTTTTTTATTTAGGAATTCTAGTTGGATTTGGATTAATTTTTTATTAAAATTAAGATTATATAATTAATTTTTTATTATTAAAATCAAATATACTTCATGTTCGTCGGGTTTGCTGTGGTTGAGTTGGTTTGATTTTTTTATTTTTATAGAAATTTAACGATATTTTTTTTTTAAGAAAATGATTTTACATTTTTTTCTAACTTATAATTTATTAATAATCTTTTATTGTGGTGACTATAATTTTTATTTTGGGGATTGTGGAGGAAATATCTTAAGCTATATAAAGTTTAATCAAGCGAATAGGTGTTGATAAGAGTAAAAAATAGGTAAATCTCATAGTATTTTTTTTTATAAATAAGTTTGGACTCGTGACTTTCTTTTTAGAAATGAGCTTAATGAATTAATGTGTAAAGTTCATTAATTTATTAGAAATAATAAACGGAAAAGGGCCTAAAATACCCTTGAAGTATTGAAAATAGTACACAATTACCGTCCATCCACCTATTGGCCCCAAATACCCTTCACATCCACCTTTGGATCCAAATTTACCTCTTCATTAATAGACCAAAATTAAAAATAATTAAATAATAATTTTTAATGACGTGGCACTCAACCATTGGTTGTAATTTAATTATTTAAAATAATTTTAAACCCACCCATTTTAACTAAACCCACCCATTTTAACTAAACTCACCCATTACTTTCCCATTCATTTTTTCC